ATTGTAAACAATCGACTATAATCTGGATCCCCGGGTCTAGATCATCATCTTCTCATGTTCTAAATAAGCTTACGAATTTTGCAGTGTTCCAGTTGTTCACATATGAGAAAAGATTGCAAAAGCTTTATTGTGCTGTTGTAAATTCATTGATATCTCCAAAAGCGTACGTGGATCCATTCATTGAGTATAGCGAATATTACCATATATTGTCGAGTGGCGAGAAATAGGGCCGAAGCTTTATAGACTCTTTATAACTATGGCAAGCATACCTATAACTAAATAGTTTTGATGTTACTCCAGGAAGTTTGTCAAGCACAGAAAGTGGAGGAAAAGAGAGGGGATCAAAGCGAAATACGATCATGAGGAATTTGGGGTGACTATAAACAATTTCATTCCCCCACCCTCTCCTTGCCAAGTGTTGTACCTGGAACCCCATCCCCTTCCTCAATTTTGCACTTGCAAATCGCAAGAATTTATTACAAACAAGAAGAGGCCTAGAGGCCTTAACGTGGATGGCTTTTTTAAGTTTGCAGTGATCATCGTTGGTTTCTGTGCGAAGAGTGAGGCCCAGTAACGAAATTAAGTGAAAATGGTGAATGTTTTTTCTCTAAAGGAAAGAGAAAACCTTAGTTGTTGTTATCTCCCCCCCACTCCTCTCTAAGAAGATGGGCTTATCAATCATGGACCTCGGGCCATTGAATTTTTGTGGCAAAAAGTCTGGGCATTTTTTCTGTGCGAATATTTTTTGGGGGAAATTTCTAAGCCCCCCACAAACAAAGATTTGGCATTTGTGACAGTTTCCTTTTCTATTATGCTACGATGACATTTACAACGATTCTTCTGCGACACCTTGCACGTGCTCAGAAGTAAAAAACAAACTTGCGGTCACACGATCTTAAAATATCGGCAAAAAAGACAAGTAAATACAAGAGTGAGGGGAATTTCTCATATATAAAAAAAGCTCCTTTTGACCTGTGTGATCTGGGCTTGATGGGAGTCACATAATGAGAAAAATTCAGAGATTTCCCTTAACCAAACAATTACCGTAAAGCCAGCAAATTTGTGGGATGAACATCTCAAAAATCTCGTTTTAATATAGCACTTATACTGGAGAAGAAACACCTTTTCGTTCAGAAGTAGATAAAACGACCTCGAACAAACAAACACGCTCTTTCTACGAGAGAAAAGAAATCAAAACGCTAGTAATTTTTCGAAAGCTATTTGCATACGTGTCGCCTGAATCCCCGGGCCTGAATCGATGCTCCTGAATGGATGCTCTCGAATCAATATATTATTTTTTAGCATATACCACACAAGTGAATAGTGCTTTTCGCGCGCTCTGATTGGTTAACTCGGAGGTGATTAGCAAGTAC